CCCCAAAACCCCAAAACCCCAAAACCCCAAAACCCCAAAACCCCAAAACCCCAACTCTTCAGACCCGAATTGAAATTAGAATCTTAATAGAAATAAAACTTAATCATAAGATGGCAAGGAAATAAAGCACGTCACTCTTAACTTGATTTATGAAATAATCTATTAAGATAAATTAAATGGAGTCTGAGTTCTTGCGTATTTCTGAAACATGCCTTTTCTCTATGGTTTCAAAGTCATTATTTATCTTTCTGGTAGAATCGACATCTTCTTGCTTAAAACTGTTGTTAATATGCGTATTAGAGGAAACTTTTTGATTCCCTTTAACTTCGTCAGGCATTTTCCAATCAGCTCTGTCATTGATATCACTTTCTTGTCTCTCACCAGAGTCATCTTCCCTGTCATTAAAGTCTTCCATCATTCCTTTAGAAGAGTCATCTTTTTCTAAAGTACCTTGCATATTTTTATTTGCTTCTTCCTTGTTTGGCTCTTTTGACTCCTTCGATTCTTCAGAAGTTTCTTTGCCCGGATTGAAATTTAGCTTTTTCTTGGTATCTGTTTCAGCCATTTCAATTTTAATGTCTTCTACATCGGCATATTTGGCCTTTCTGCCACTTGCGTTCATCTTTGGCCCAGCAGAGTAGTTCTGGACTCTCTGTGGATTCTCGTCATCTTTCATGATATCAACAAAATCTTCCTTCTTCTGTTCAGATTTGTGTTTCTTTGTTTTATTTTTAGTGTTTTCATCTTTTGAAGGTGTCTGGCTTTTTGTAAGAGCATTCTTTGTTGCAGCTTGCTCCTTTTCTTGTTGTGCCTTAGCTTTCTTATTCCTCTCAATAATCCTTTCTCTATATGCTTTCTTATTTTCTTTGTTTATTTGGTGAATAATTTTGGACTTCTTCTTTTTCCTGAGGTCATCCTGTGCCTTTCTTTCCTCTTCTTCATATTCACCTCGGCTCATTTCTCCTGCCTCAAAAAGCTCCAATCTCTCTTGAGCTTCTTCTTTATAAACAATGTACTCATAGGCTGTGAGACCGATCTTTTTGAGTTTTATGTGTAGAAATACCAGGGAAATCGTGAAAAATACAATCAGCCCACATAAGATATTGAGTATTACTATAAAAACTGCCAGTCCAAATCTGTTGAGGTCTGTGTCGTAGTATTTATAAAAGCCTTCTTGAAATTTAGACTTACTAGACAGAGCAGTTATAACGAAAATCAGGGAGATAATCATAAAAATCAGAGTTTGTGCACATAATACTGAAATGAGGATAAGAAAATCAGCGTAGTTTTTGCCACCGATTCAATTATTTAACCACTTTCAGTGATGATCAAAAAGATCAGAACATCTATTACATTCTCCTCAGTGTTTGGTTCTTTCGTGAACGTACGCTTCTCATACGTCTCAGAAAAACTCAAGCTCATCATTTTCTTCCGCCTCAACTCCCTCCTTTCTTCATTGTCTTTCATAAAGGACATTTCGATCCGTAGGATCTGTTAGTGTGGCTCTGAGTCAAAATATCACGACACCAATGAGCAAAGAGCCGTACACCAAACCAATGAAGACTGCAAATCCCGTGCCAATATAATATGTACCAGGTACTAGGAAGAGGTAAAAAGAAAGTACCAATATAGTCATGACCACCCAAGTCCCTACTTGCTGAGGATGAAGAGGTGACATTAATCCATGACTTTTTGTCTTTTTGAACTTTACATTGATATCCTCAGTTTCATTCATATTTTCAGGATCAAAGTTTCCAGGTTGTTCATCCTCCATAATAGATCTATGATCATAATTGCTCGCTTCCTCACCATGAGCAATATTTAGTATGCTTATCTCTAATCTGCTGCTATTTCTGGGAACCATATTAGAATCTCTAGAGTTTTCTGCACACTTATCTTTAAAACGTCCTTGTCTCCCATTCTTTTTCGCATCATCTAGGTTCATTTTAAATTAATATTCAATAATAATAGCGCATTGTGGGGTTTTGGGGTTTTGGGGTTTTGGGGTTTTGGGGTTTTGGGG